CAACAACAACAAAAAAAGAAAACGATTAATCGATTATTAAATTAGTCATCGATTATTTTAATAATCGATTATTCGTCGATTAGTCGATTAATCGTGGCAGCCCTATTCTGATCGTGACATTTCTTTATTGCATGAGATTCTGGTCAAGCCAGCTTAGTCTAAAATTTTGGCATGAAACTCTGGGCGACATGTCTTTAATCTACCCTAACATTTTCTTTAAAAAAGTATCAGCCATTTAAGTTCTAAAAAAGTTACACGTTTTATTATTATATAAAAATTGATATTGCTCAGACAGCTCTCTGTGGATGTCCATCTTAATTCTACAATGTTTTAAAGATTGTTTTTCTTCAGAAAAAGTTCAGTTACAGGTTTAAATTTTATTGTAAAGCAAGTCTTGGTTTTATTTCATTTTAGACAAAGTACACTCTGATTGATGAGCAGGACATACCGCTTGTGGAAAACTATGCCTTTGAGGTAAACTATTAGTTTTTTATTTAATTTTTTTTATCTTTTATACCAAATTTGTTGCAAATATCAAGACTTTGAACTCCTTCATTATTTCATGTTTCAGGCACGTATGGAGGTAGATGCCGATGGCAATGGAGCGAAGATCTTCGCTTATGCTTTTGACATCGGCAAGGGCCGCTGGGCTGGAAGGCCGCTGCACGAGCTGCTCTGGTAAGTAATTGGTTTTATACAACAACAAGATAAACTCCTTTTTTTTTCTGGGTATGCTCCGATAGATAATATGGGATTATCTCTTGTGCTTTCATATTTTTTCTCGACCTTTTTGGAAAAAATGCCGCAAGGTCAGTCAAAATTGGGAGGGCAAATTAATGAGAACTTAAGGAAAAAACAAACTTCAAAGGGATTTTGATTTCATAATCGTTCAGCAATGAGGTAGAACAAAACAAACATAAGCTGAGCACAAATGTTACACAAGATATTACTCTTTTTCTTCTTTATTCTTCTGTTTGGTTCAAGTTATTACCAAGGTGAGGCAGCAATGATTAGAAAAATAATTGAAACACTCATTAATGACACACCCACAATCTATATTCTTGGTTAAACTTTTCAATTTTATTGGTATTTAGGCCACTTTAAAAGGAGTTGTAACTCTTCTAAAGTTGTAAATCTCGCTGCACTTGTAGTTTGATGTGCGGTCAGGATGTCTGAATGAATCAGTATTTGTAATATTTGCTTCTTTTGTCTTTACGTAGGGAGAAGCACAGAGGCGGCATTGCCCCTAGTTTTCAAGTTATTCACATCAACTCGGTGACGGTCGACAACCGGCTAGACAACCTTCGACTGGTCCCGGTGGGCTGGAGCCCCAAACCAGAGGAGATTTCCAGCAAGCAGAGGTAAGATTGATCCATACCTCATCAGAAGTGTTGAAATCGTTTCTCGCTGACGTGGATTGCGTGACGAAAATTGCTTCTTTTTGTTTTCGCACCGCCCTGAGAACCCGTTGAGTGCACAGCCCTCCGTCGTGTTGTCCCACAGGGATAAGCACCAAGTGTTGCGTGGTCAGAACTTTGTGGGTGTGTTGCTGCCAAAAAGCAGCTAAAGTACACTTCTGCCATTTCTCAAAAACTACTCTGTTGGAAAATACAGCTGTGTATGCTAGTGTTTTAATAAAACGTAAAAAAAAAAATACTCAAAAAGAACTTGTAGCAGGAGAACAATCTTTGTGTGTGGGTAAGAGAGCGGAGACACCGGCAGCTCTCTGTGGCTGTGCTGTCAGGGAGACAGCGCGTGTGTGTGTGTGTGTGTGTCTGTGTGTCTGTGTGTGTGCCTCGGCTGGACGGTGTAAGGACACATTCATGTGTAGGGCTGGGTTAAAAAAAAATCGATTTAACCGATCTGGATTGATTTTCGTTCAGATTTGGGAAGATAAATTCATAAGACATGAGATCGATTTTTTTTTTTCCCATGAGTGTTGTGTGCGATGAAGCTGCGCGTTTCCGTGTTGTGTGTCACTCCTGGCTTACCGTAGGTTTGCATCCAGTTGACGGTCAGCGCTAACATTAGCTCCTAACAACAAGTTGTCTGCATCAAAACTAAGGAATCACTAACATTACAGCTGATTCTCAGCAGAACTTAAAGATAACAGAGGCCGTGATGACTTGTTACAAAGATTTGCGCTCTGACGCAGTCGCAGGAAACAAAGCTTCGAGCGGCTCGAACCAAAACTGCTGTATGTAAACATCTGACTGAAACTGTTCTCCTGTATAAATGTGTGAAAGATGTCAGTCTAACAAAATCGTTTAGTTTTCTTACCAATATTATTTATACATTTTAGAAACATCTTGATGTAATTCACAGTGGAATGTTTTAGCTGAAGTTCTCTTTTCTTTCTTTCTTCTTGTTAATAAGTTTTATTGAACAGAAGGTAACAGAAACATTACAAATACACAATTATCATACTCTCAAGTGTGAGCAGAAGTATGTACTTAAATTATCCCAACTCTTCTCCTGTAACGTTATTCCATCACCTCTTAATGTTCAAGCAAATTATTCTTAGTTTCTTAAAAAAACTAATGTATCCAACAACACTTTCTCTTGCAAATTCTTTTTAGTTTGAACCCTTTGAAACTTGATAGTTTTGTTTCAAGATTAAACTTCAGTTTACAAGTTTGCCCTTAATGTTTATAATTTTACCAATGCACCAAGTTAGAATTAGTTTCTACTATTTGCAGAATTGTTTCCTTTGATTATGTCTTCTGTATCAAGTAAATGTGTTACTGCTTGGTGGTATCCTTAACTAATTTAAAAATCAAACTGAATCGTGAATAGGGCTGCCACAAACGATTATTTTTATATTCGATTAATCACAGATTATTTTTTTCGATTAGTCGACTAATCGGATCATAGGTTAATTGAATATAAAACATACAGCTTATCGCGCCAGAATGCAGCTGCTATTATATAACATTGTTAGATTTTAGCTATATGCTAACTAAAAATAATTGCTGTGGAAGACAAGTTCTGCTCTGCAGTTATTACACAGGTTTCTCTTTCATTTTCTTAAAATGATCCCACACTTTGAGCTCCGTTGTCAGGTAGCCATGATACCAGAGCCTGTCTGTATAATGTCTTGTGACGTCCACGGCCTACCCCAGTTACCACTACTGTGCGTGTGTGTCAGGGACAGAAAGGCAGATGTGGCAGTGGAAGGTGTCAAAGCAGTTTGGAGAGAAAAACAAAGTAAAGAACAAAAAAAAAAAAAAAAAAAAAAAAAAAAAAAAAAAAAAGAAAACAAATAATCCATTATTAAATTAGTCATCGATTATTTTAATAATCGATTAGTCGATTAGTCGATTAGTCGTTGACTAATCGACTAATCGTGGCAGCCCTAATCTTGAATCGATTTGGGAAATCTGAATCGATACCCAGCCCTCTTCCTGCATCATCTTCCTCAACTCCTATATCATTAAATAAACAAACATGTATGTGATGATTCTGTTTGTGCCGTTTCTCCTTGTGTATAAAATGTAAAGAGGACGTGTCAAAGAGATCAGATGTCTTACACCTACCATATATTTACGTTCTGATAAAAACTGCTGCATTATTTTTAGGAGATGCTGAACGTTTCCATGTGTTCTTCCAGAGAGCAGTCTCTGTACTGGCTGGCCATCCAGCAGGTCCCGGCCGACCCGGTGGAGGAGCAGTACCTGGAGCTGAGCCGCACGCGCTACTACAACGCTAACGGGGAGCTGGTGGAGGAAGAGGAGTGCTCCTGCACCTACTACGAGTGTCATTACCCTCCCTGTTCACTCATCGAGAGGCGGGTACGTACCAGAGCGTCCCATTAACGACAGCAATTAAAGCCCAAACTCATTTAACGTGCAAAACACGTAAAGGTGCCGTCGTGTTTCCGCAGCTGCGGGAGTTCAACATCTGCGGCCGCTGCCAGGTGGCGCGCTACTGCGGCTCGCAGTGCCAGCAGAGGGACTGGCCCGCCCACAAGAAGCAGTGCCGCGAGCGCAAACGGGTGCTGGCCCTGGAGTCGGAGCCCGAACGATGATCATCGGCCTTCGTCCGGGAGAGGAGGAGAAGGAGGAGGAGGGTAAATGGAGAGGAAGGGTTAGATTTGTGGGAGGGAAGCGGGGTAAAAAAAATGTGAAAACGTGCTGACAAGAGACTGATGACAGGACAATGTTGACTGACAGATCAGGGGGTAAGAACATGGAGGAGGGGAAGGAGATTCAAGCAAAGACATCTGCCACTTCCCAGGACTCGTAATTCTCCATAGCTTGCTTTTCATGTGGATGGCGAGAAGAGCCTTTGTTTTTTTTTTGTTTTTTTCCCTCGAAGAGGGAGAACCTCGAGCTCAACCTGCTGCTACGGTTTTTGTAAGTTGAGAAGAAGTCGTCTCGTCGAACCGGACGCTTCTTTGGACCACGGTCGAACGGACCGCTCTCGTCATCCACTTTTTTTCGTTCCTCCGCCCCGCCGCTGGGTGTCGCAATGTCTGTGGGGGGGGACCTCGGGGCTACAGTACCTGCGCTCGGCCGGTACAAACAGGACACGGACCTTTTCACTGTATCGCTCCCTCTCTGACCTCGCTGTGTTCACGGTCATCGGCGCCTCAGCCACCTCCCCGTCTCGTTGTTACCCCCCCCCCCCCATGGGATCTCACCGATCGGATCACACTACCAGTATTGAGTGTGTTTGTGTGAATGCCTGCGGGTGTTTGTGTTCGTACTGCCAATATGTGCTGAAGGACATTAAAATGGTCAACGTGGCTTACGGGTCAAGGTTAGCGTACGTCTTCGCTCCCTAAAGGGGCAATATTACCCATTTTAAAAAAATGTCCTTTATTTAATCAAAAATTGGTGGTTTAAAATATTTCTGCTGTTATAAATTAGCGCCAAATAAAGGCTTAGTTTTGTACAATACAGTTTATTTGATCATATTTTTTTAACTATTTGTTTAGGCTTTAGTTTAATTCTCCCACAGGTATGTCATTTCTCCTGTTTGCATTAAGAGTCTGGTCTGGATGCTACGTTAAATAAAGCACTGATGGCAGGAGAAACTGATTTTTATGTTCTCTTGACAAATTAGGCTGACACACAAGGTGTAAGAATTTTCATTACCAAAGTATCTCTTTGTAGCTCGACACTCCTGTGAACTGGTTTAAATTCCTTCAGTCAGTCTAAATTTCCTTCTTTTTTACCACCTGTCTCATTTATGTTGTTTTTTTTTACAGGTTTGTTGTATGTGTGCTGGTCAGGGAGGGGTTTTTTGTGTGAGAGTATGCTCTGTTTTTTTTTTTAAAGAAATTATATCAATGGAGCTATATTTATTTAAAACATTTGATTGTGAAACATGTTTTTGGTGATTTTTGAAGGTTAACATTATTAAAAGGTTGGTCGTATTGCAGGTTGAAATAAGATGGGGGAGGAGGTTACGAGCTGAACATTTCTTCCCCCCCTCCCCCGGTAACTTGATTTATTTTATTTTATTTTTTGTACTTGATCCTGAATGAGTCCTCCTCACTGTTGGCCTTCCAGTTTTCCTAGAAAACGCTGCACACCATCATCGTCACTAAAATCTTCCACGTGGAGGGTGTGGATAACTTAAATTTCCCACCATAAAAAATATGTTATTTTATTTTTTTAAGTGCTGTCGACTCGAATAACCTTTTTGGCATTTGTTCCCTAAAACAAACAAACAAAAAAAAAGAGACATTGTCAATATTACCCTCATCACCTGCCTTTTTGTGTTTCCTGCACTGCACATTGTTTTTCTTGTGTCTTAGGAGGAATTCATAAACTAGCATGTGTCTGACATCGTACATGCGACGTGTTTTCTTCTGCGTGAACAGGTTTCAACGCTGCACTAAAAAAGAAATTTGGTTCCCGTGTTCTTGTCATCAATAGGTTGCAGGGAGGGCTGTCGTTCTTTTGGACAGAGTGTACAGATGTCTAAAATGTTGTTTTCTAAGAATATAAGCATTAATCATCTAGAATTAAAGAGCTACGCTATGTGAATGGAGGTATATTTGGGATGACAGTTGCTTTTCCATTGTACAATGATAATAAAAAGAAATAAACCTCACATTGTTGGAGTTGGCTCAGTTTGAACACAGCTGTTTTATAACCAACTTTGTGACTTCTTGACTATTTTTATTAACACATTGAGGCATGTTTTTAATATCTGCTGCTAAAAAGGTCAAATCCCCACTGTTTGAGGATATTCATTCAGCTCTTATTTTGTAGGTGAAGGGAACAAGCTTTTACTTTGTAAATCATCTAAAAAATGTGTATTACCTAATCATAAATGGACTTAAAAAAACAAAAATGTTTACGTTGTTTAATTACTAGATTTCCAAAAGGAATAGAAAATAAGTTAAAATGTTTTGTGTTTCTTTGCTGTCCACTGACACTTCAAAAATGATACAGTGGCCCGCTCATTAAGTCAACCTTTTAATTTACATTTTGATGCCAGCTACTACATAAAGTTAAAAAAAAACCTGACCTGCAATCATGTTTGACTCTTTCTAAAATATACAGATGTACCTGTATTATTAGTTTAACAAAGTTCAAATATAAGAATTACAGATTTTATGTCATAGAGCTGTGTTTCCCAAAGTTGGGGTCGGGACCCAAAGTGGGGTCCCAAAACTTCAAGGTGGGGTCCTGAAAAGATTTTCTGAATTAATGACATTTTTGCCTTAGTTGTTACAAAGGAGTGATGTTAGTGTATTTAAAATGGATAAATGTAGTATAAAAAATATTGTTACTATGCCCATGTTTAGTTGACCTGATACAAATGTTTATCATCCAAAAATAGTTGGGGGCACAGGTCTCTGCTACTGTTATTTTGTGGGTCAAAAACTGAAAGGTTTGGGAACCACTGCACTTTGGGAACCAAAGTGCAGTGTTGGCGGCACGGTGGCTCAGTTGGTAGAGCTGATGCCTCTCAGCAAGAAGGTCACCGGTTCAAATCCCGGTCCGGGGACCTTTCTGGGTAGAGTTTGCATGTTCT